ACTCAACCTGCCCTCCCAGCACTGCCACCGAGCACCGCCCAGCACTGCCACCGAGCTGGGCTGCATCGTGCCCTGAACCCCCTGGCATGCCCTGAACCCCATGGCATAGAAAATAAAAAAACCAAACAAATCAAAACAACAAAACACAACTTATCCACTTGCAAATTTCATAACTATAGTGCAGGAGATTAAAATCTCCAAATGGGATCACTGTCAATGTAGATGAAAGTTTTGCACATTTTAACATAAACATTTAATCAGCATGAATTCTTTTTACTGTTTAAAAGATAATTTACAACTCAAAGTATCTGTTAAGTACAGTATGTCTACTAAATTTAAATATATGAATTAGTATTCAGCAGGCTTTGGGTTAAGAGATTTTGCTTTTACAATGTTTTACTTACTTGGCTGAAACTTCAGTATATACGTTGTCAAAATGCCATTTGGGTAAGTGGGTAAACCCCATTCCAAAGTGAGAGAGTCCAGCATTGGATCAGTGATCTTCAAAAATGAAGGTGCACTGGGAACTTATAAAGAGAATATATGTAAATTAAAGTGGATTTCACAGATATGTCTCATCCTATTCTGGCATATGTTCTGTATTGACCTTCCACTTACTTTCAAGTTTTCAACACAAAAACATAATGTTTAATAATCATGGCTATAATAATCCCTAAATATAAAAACAAGCCCAGAATGTGTCATTTTTTAAATTTAACAAGTTTAGTTTAATTCCTTGGGTTTCATACCTCCTTCAGGCGTCTTAAATATTTTGTCAGGGCTTGCTGGTCCTTCCCCTTTACCATTAACAACTCTCACATTCAGCCTGTAAGAGCTGTAAGGCTCCAGTCCTGGCAACATTCCATGCGTTCTGTTTCCATTGAAGGTCAGGATCTTTTTTTCCACATGCCGTCTACTTCTCTGAGATAAACTCTGCACTTTCCAATAGTAAATCTAAGTGTAAAAACAAACAAACAAATATATTAACAAGGGACCATTGCAGTATTCTTGTACCGTAACCTGGGATTGTTCAGATCTTTCATGAATACCCGGATACAAATAAAAATATAGTTATTTATGGCTAAACTGTGGGACTTGGCAATGAGCCCTATTCAAGCAGCAGCTCAAAGTTACATTGTTCCAGAAATAGATCAATGACCAGACTATGATGAATAAATCTCACAGATATAGGCAATGCATCTGGGGGCACAGGAAAGCACATGCCCTCCCTGACAGTGAGCACTCTAGCTGGCAGGGGGGCATAGAGAGTGCTAGTGCCCCCCTCCGAAATTGGCTCCCCTGGTGGCACGTTGGCAGCGGAAGTACCAGCACTGGCATGCTTTGCAACCGGCCACTGGGGGACCCCCCAGTCATGCCCCACTGGTTCCCCCGCAGACTCAGGAGGCACCAGTCACCCATGCTCACAGAGATATTTGTTCATGAAGGAAATAAGGAATTGTATTAGGCTGAAATGGTTGACAGATCATGAAAGGAGACCTGGATGTCAACCCTACAGCAAGCACCACACAGGTGAAGGAATCTGCTTGTCTGCATCTTAGTTTAAGATCAGGTTGGCTGATGAAATGTCTCTGAAGGTAATGCTAGACATAAATAATTTCTTAAACAAACAAACAAACAAACAAACAAACAAACAACTAAATATTTTCTCTGAACTCTGACATGGTCTTTTCTTCCTGTCAGTTTGTGCCCTCTGGCTTATGAATGCTTGCCAGTCTAATTGCATTGTGACATCCATCTTTACAGCTGCAGAGGTTATATACCAAGATTGTATTACTGCACAAGGTTAGACTGTTAGGGTATGTCTGACCTTAGGAATGCTTCTGAGAAGCACACCCTGTCTGCGCACATGTTTCTGCTCAGCAGACCCCAAAACCTGAGTGAATTCAGTCTTGAATAGAGCCTGAGCACAAGCCTGAGCGTAGCTCTGGATGAGTGGTCCCAGCTATGATAAACCAGCCATACTGCCTAATTGCCAGGTTTTGGGATGCACTGAGGAATTCGTTTGCAAGATGTGCACTTCAACGGTGCTCCTAGAGGTGCTATGGAGGCAGTGTAGACATACTGGGTGTTTATACACATGCCCCAGGAGGCAGGTGGAGGGGGCACTTTAATTAGAGTGGCTCTGAGAGCTTCTCTAATTAAAGCATCCAGAGCATCACATGTATCAGCATCCTTATGCTGAAAAATGGTTGAAAAATAAGGAAATAAATCAGGAAAATAAATTAAAGCAAAAGAAGAGCAGCCATATCAATCAAAATGCTTTTAATGCTTTTTTCAGTACCTTTTTAAATCCAAAATTATTAAAAGCTCCCAAGCATATTAAGAATTATGTCTGCCTTACCCACGTGCAAGTGTTTGAGGATGACCTCTGTAGTCTTATTTAGACTACAGCTAGCTTTACTGACTGGCTTTCAGTCTTGTGACACTTGTGCCCAATCTCCCCAGCAACTCATGTATACATCCCTAACATGATAATACACATTAGCTAACCCCAGGCTTTGAAATCCATGATGACATTATCATAGGACACTTTAATTTGGTACTAGTACCGTATTAATATTTTTGATAAAAGATCATGAATTTGCTTTGAGAATTATAAAAATAACTATGACATTTGAAATACAGTCTGTACATTCTGTATCTGTGAAATAGTTATCTGTGCAGTAGTCAGATGCAACTGTTATGCACCAGAATAAAATGTTACAAAGTAACAGTTACTTCTGCATGCTCCTTTGATGAAAAAAATATAGAAAAAAAATCAGGGCAACCTTTAACCACATTTCATCCAGAGTTAAAATTACAGTAATGTAGTTAACTTGTATCACTGTACAAAGAGAGAGAACACCTTCTTTCTTTCTTTCCTTTACCACACTGCATTCCCTGAGGCCAGCCAAGGACAACCTCCTGCAAGTACCATCGGTATATCAAGTCTGCATGGCAAAAAAATGTGGGAGGTCATTCTTGGCAGTGGCTCCCCAGCTCTGGAACTCCCTCCCTCTCAAGGATCCTCATGAAAGTCTGAGCTCTGGCATCTTTCAGAAGTGCTCTCAGAACTTCCTATCTGGGCAGGCATTAGGCAAACAAATCTAAGTGACAATATTGCTTGATGGGTCACTGTTTTATATTCATATTCTAGTACCCTTTTAAGTTGTTTTCTTCTTTTGTTGCTTACTTTTCTCTTGTTGCTCTCCTGTTTTAAAAGTTATTCTATTTTCTTACCACAAGCTACCCTGAGACTTTGCTGGAACAAGCCATACAAATTGCAATAATAAATAAATAAAAAGGAATAATATAGTGCAGGGGGCAGAAACATTTTTGGGCAGAGTGCCAAAAACACCTTGACATGTAAGATGTTGGCATGCTAGGGACAGACAGCAGGGGAGCCATGAAGGGGCCGATCCTTGTTGTGGCAGTGCAGCCCCAGCCCCTTCTCCGAGGTGTGCATGCCAAACAAAATGCCTCTGTGCGCCACACACTGGCACCTGTGCTGGGGGTAGCCTACCGCTGGTATAGTGGAAACAGTATTACTGTGTTAGTGTGGTGTGTTACCTAGTCTGATACACCCTGTTCTCAGAATTATTAATCCGCTCAGTTGCAGTGCCACACATTAACTATACAGTTGCTGTTATCAAGTATACTCTGTCTATTGGTCACCCTCACCACTTATGGTGGTGTTGAGAAACAATTTTTTTACTACATCAGTTGCTTTTCACAACCAGACATCTACTTCAATAGCATTTTTCTTATAAAAAGGAGGGTTAAAATAGCTTCTGTAATTACTTACTCTGTATCCTTGAAGGTGCCCTCGGACTGTTTTTAGGGGAACTGGATCCCAATGCACCTTTGCTAATGTGCTGTTAATAACATGGACCTGCACATTGTTGGGAGCAACCATTGGTACTGTGGGGAGAGATGCAACAAAACCCTGGTCAGAATTAGAGGATACAAGTCGCACTTTGAAATCTACTTCATTTGACAACTTCATGTCAAAAGGGGGCTTCAAGACTACCAAGGTATATGAAGGCTTTTACTATTTTCAAGAGGTATGAACTGATCAATCTATGCTTAGTATAGAAACAAGAAAAATTCTCTTCTAACCCACACATTTTTAATAATGTTTAAATTCTACTGAGACTTGGTATTTGAGCTTTTTAATTAATACACAGTGTCAATCTATGAAACTTACAGTCTTCTCCAGAATGTCCAATCACCTCTGATGGCTCTGGCGCATATCCCAGATCATTTAAAGATTGTACTTTTATCTCATACGGAACAAAGGTTGGTGTACCAGACACAATATATTTAGAAACATTTGCAACAATAACAGAAGTCCACTCATCATCAGCATCTTTCTGACGCCAACTGACTTTGTATTGGAGCCCTGGTCCATTGGACTGAAAACCTTTTAAAGGCTAAAATTAAAAAAAAAAAAAAAAAGAAAGTTAGTATTTCAAAATTGTTCTACAACACTTGTAAAGAAGATAGATCCAGGGTCATAAGAAACCTCTGGATCTGTAATGAAAAGGCAATGTAATTTACCACTGCATTTACTCAGTTTTATGCCAGTGTAACACTACTGAAATTTCCAAGTTAGACTTCTATTTCATTTAAGCTTATGTGAGTCACTAGTTTATCAAACAGATGCAATGTCCCATATTTTGAAAAGCAGAGAGCCTAACACCAATTTTTTTAGTCATAAAATATAACAGTGCTCCTGCATTCTTGATGACAGTACTTCTTTTGAAGCTGAAGAAAGCTATTATAAAAAGCTGATGGGAAGCTGATTTTACAAAATAGGGATCTGAGTTTTGCAACAGAACAAGAATTCGTGCCACAGGAATGATGCCATGAGCAGAAGGCATAGTGATCATTTGTTTATAATAAAGCTAAATGAAGCGTTATGTTTTAAATCTGAACCTATTTGAAAATTATGACCCTAATAGATCCAGACCAATACATATATATTTAAATCTTACAATAATGCATGTAAACACTTTGGACATAATAAGTTAATAAGTCAATAGTATGATGGAGAAAATAATAATCAACCATGGTCCCTTGAAAATCTCTCTCATTGTGACAGTTTATTCTCATTTTCCCACCGCTATAGCTGCATACAGACATTCATTTCTACTGGAAGAAATTTCTTCCAGTAGAAAAATAGCTGAGAAGCTGGACAGACATTCCCTCAGCCCCATGGTTCAAGAGTTTCACAGACAAGCTCCAACTAGGAATCACTATAGAGCTGCTCCTGCCACCCCTGCCCTTAGGGGACCTTGCTAATTGACAGCCTGCCTGTTCCCCTGCCTGGGAAAGGGATGGGCTGTCAACTGCCATTTGCCAGTTACTGAAATGTTACTGCATGCTTAGGGGCAACCAACACGGGTTCATCAGTGGCAGGTCCTGTCAAACCAACCTGGTGGCCTTTTACAATCAGATCACCAAATCATTAGATGCAGGGGTAGCAGTGGACATAGTCTTCCTGGACTTCCAGAAGGCTTTCGACACTGTCTCTCACCCTGTTCTCATTAAGAAACTGGGGGGCTGTGGTGTAGACACCCACACAGTCAAATGGGTTGCCAGCTGGCTGGAGGGCAGCACCCAGAGGGTG